GAAGTGTCTGGATTCACACTATTGGACTCAAGATTGGTCAGAGAAAGAGAGGAGTGAAGGTAGGAGAGAGAAGGAAGCTGAAATATGTGATGAGCTCCTAAAGAGTGACTTATTCAGTATAGGATTGATTCCTTAGAAATTTCTACAAAGTCTGACTTTTCTCGGTCTTTTTCCATTATGTTTTCCTATCAGCTTTATTTATAATTCTATTATTAAATATTTAAAAAGCCATAATTGCCCAGAGTGCTATTGGAAAGAAAGAATTTTGTTGAGATTCTGTTCAATTTAATTAAATAGAAACAATTCATTGTTTAGCTTCCTTGTTGGAAAAATCTTTTAATGATTTAACTTACTAATTTAGAAAATAAAATGTACTAAATTATACTTCATGTTTAATGGTTAGTCATCTTCCAATTGTTTTAAATGATTAGCTTCTTTTAACACAAAATTAAACAGCATGAGAATTAATAAAGAACTTATCTTAGAGAGCTGACTAAATCAATTATCTAATATATATTTCTTTATCTATTAAAGTCTGCCTTTGTTGTGTTTCAAATGGAAAGACACTAAAAATACAATATATATATATATATTGTATTAATATACTATATATATATATTTTATATATATTGTAATAATATATATAAAATACAATAAAATGTGAAAAATACATTTTGATAATCAGACGTTTGGTATTTGGGATATGTCTTCCTTAATGTTACTCTAGTCTTCATCTGGATGTCACCATTACCATAAATACATATCTTTGTCTTTCCTTCTAGCCCTTCAGCATCACTATTATCAGACCGAATTTATATCTTTATAAAATGATTGTTCTTTGTCAAGCATCTAATTGCCTTTTTCATGCATTAGCCGATGTATTTTGTCTTTTCTAAAAATGTATCTTTATCGTTGAAAGTATTACGGATGTCCCCTTTTTTCCCCTCATTGACCCCTTCCACCCTGCACTCCCTTTCATCACACTATTGTCTGTGTCCATAGATTATGCATATATGCATTTAAGTTCTTTGATTAACCTCTTCCTCCCAAACCTCCCCTTTCCCTCTGAGATTCCACCACCTGTTCCATACTTCTGTGTCTCTGGATTTATTTTATTCATCAATTTACTTTGTTCATTGGATTCTACATATCAGTGAGATCACGCAATACTTGTCTTTCTCTGACTGGCTTGTTTCGCTTAGTATAATACTTTCTAGGTCCCTCCATGCTGTCTCAAGGGTAAGAGATACTCCATTTTTTCAGCTGCATTGTATTCCATTATGTAAATGTACCACAGCTTTTAAAAAATATTTATATTTTATTGATTTTTTACAGAGAGGAAGGGAGAGGGACAGAGAATTATAAACATGATGAGAGGGAAACATCATTCAGCTGCCTCCTGCACTCCCCCTACTGGGGATGTGCTAGCAATCAAGGTGCATGCCCTGGACCAGAATCAAATCTGGGACCCTTGAGTACGCAGGCCAATGCTCTATCCACTAAGGCAAACCTGCTAGGGATATCACAGCTTTTTTATCCACTCATCTACTGATAGGCACTTGGAATGTTTCCAGATATCAGCTATTGTAAATAGCGCTGCTATGCACATAGGGGTGCATATATTCTTTCTGGTTGATGTTTCAAGATTCTTAGAATAGATTCCTAGAAGTGGGGTCACTGGATCAAATGGCAGTTCCATTTTTATTTTTTGAGGAAATTCTATACATTGCATTCCCACCGGCATTGTGCTAGGGTTCCCTTTTTCTCCATATCCTTGTCATTTGTTGATTCCTTGATGGTAGCCATTCTGGTTGATATGATGTGTTTGATACCTCATTGTTATTTTAATTTGCATCTCTCTGCTGATTAGTGACTTTGAGATTTCTTTTTTATGCATCTTTTGGCCATCTGTATGTCCTGTTTGGAGAAGTGTCTATTGAGGTCCTTTGCCTGTTTTTTATTGGATTGTTTGACTTCCTTTTGTCAAGTTGTATGAGTTCTTTTTATATTTTGGAAATTAACCGTGTATCAGATGACTGACAAATACATTCCCCACAAAGTGGGCTCCCTTTTCATTTTGTTGGTGGTTTCTTTGGCGTCTCTGTGATGTGTATTTCAGGTGCACCTGTCCAGTCTGCAGGGGTGGGAAGGAAGGTTGCTAGTCTCTAAGGACTGTGAGGGAATAGCTAAAGTTCCAATGACTTCTAAAACAGATTTAAGCTTCCTCCTGCTTTCGATATTCCCTTCTCTGTCACTTCTGAAACTAATTTCTGGTACCAGTCTGGAGCCTTTGGGGGTCGAATGGTAAAATTATTTTGACTCTTGGCTTCTCTCCACCTTTGTCTTAGAAGATCAGCATTTTGGACTTTGTTAGATTCATTTCTGGCCCTGGTTCAGTGGTTCAGTTGGTTGGAGCATCATCCTGTATATCAAAAGCTTGTGGGTTCAATTCCCCTTCCGGGCACATACCTAGGTTGCAGGTTCGATCTAGTTGGGGCACTTATGGAGGCAACCAATCGATGTTTCTCTCTCTCTCTCTAAAATCAATAAACTTATTCTTGGGTGAGGATTAAAAAATCAGTTTCTGCTTTCTAGGTTTTTATTGCTAGTATCTTCTCTTTATCTCTTTTACAGTGTGGGTTCCTTTTTAGCCCCCTTGTTGTTATAAAAACAAAATTTTTGTTTCAAAAGGACAAGACCTTGTAAATCTTCCCTTTTCAACAAAAATTATATTTTAGTATTCTTTGTCAATAAATGTACTTCGATAGCAACATTTTAATTGTTACATACAAATCTAATTTTAGAGATAGAACTTATCACCTATTGTTTTAAACATAGATTGTTTTAAGCAATATTGCAAAGAATTTTCTCATAGCTGAATCTTATATTCTTCTTTAATTTAAATAAATGTTAAATGTGAAAAAAATTGTGACTCCTTTAAAATTTTTCTTACAAATCACATCTTATTTCCAATAGTACAAGGATATTATACCCTTTCTATTGTAGACCATCCTATGTAAACATTTCACTGAATAACTTTTCTCACCGAACGGTTAATTCTGTGTATGTTTAGTTTATTCTACTTACAGGCTATGCCGGGAACAGGATAGGTACCCATTATATATTTTAAGTAGACATATTCACAATAAACAAAATTTTATTATTTTATTTATAACTTCGAAGACATGGGGTCTGGTATAGATGGAAAATATCTCATTTGCATCACTTTGTATTACTTTGAGACAATTCAGGCTATAATATCAGGAGTATGTATTAAGAACCAGAATTCAATTAATTAGCCTAATATACAGAAAATCAGGGAGAATCACCATAGTTTTTTTCCTAAATTTCTCATTCTCCACTATACCAATGGCTGAAGGCATCTATTTGCAGTTTTTAAAAATAACACCTGCACACTGTACACCAATTTAGTATATTGCACTTAGGCCGAGAATTTTATTTTTTTAGCCTTTACAATCTCTTAGATAATATTTTGTTGACATTTGACTTAATCATAGGCCAGCTGGATGTGTTGAGAGAGATTTGAAATCAAGCATTGCTCAGGGTGACAATTTATGCAGTGATATTGCTGGTGAGAGCTTTAACCCCGATGTCTAGATACATAGTATCAATTAAAGCATGCACCCTTCTCAGACATAATGACCTTCCAGAAGCATTAGAAGTGAAGAAGAAAAACAGGAAAACTATGTTATATAATGAAACATTATCTCACTACTTAAAATCTGAAAAAAATATTATTTTAATAATAATAACTAACATTTATTAAGTACTATTACTATGTAGCATGCATATTCTAAATTCTTAACATGAGATAGGTGCTTATAACTATCTTAGCCTTAAAGGTAAGGGAATGAGACACAATGACATTATTTATAAAGTTGTCCAAGGTCAACTAACTGATAAATCGCAAAGCCTAATTTTGACCCCAGAAAATCTGCCTGGATAGATCATGTCAACTAGAGTGTCTTCCATCAGAGATATAGATTCATTGATACTAATATGAGTAGCATTTGCATAAGTAACTTTTGCATAAAAATCTGATAGGGAAGATGTATCTTTTGAAATGTATCTTAATGATAACTAAGTTTTCATTGTCCTACCCAGTTTTTCAGGTTAAATATTTCAAATAACTTGTTTAAAAAAATACACATTATATCTAAAACACAGAGACTTCTAAGTAAATAGACTGCTGGAAAGAGAGTTTAGAGGCAAATAATCTAGATTTAAATGATGGCTTTGTGATTTCTTAGTTGTGTGAAAATCACTTTAGTCTTAATTTTCTCATCAGAATATGGGAACGATAATATCTACCCACAGTATTACCATACAGATAAAACTAATCTATATAATGGTGTCTCATTGAGCTCCTTGCACTCAAATACAATATAGTAATTTAATGAAAGTGTTATGAGAATTTCCACATTCTATATGAGACAGTTATATACATTGAATGGCCAGATTATCATGATCTCTGAACCCATAATAATCTGGCCACTCAGTGCTCTCGCGCGCGTGTGTGCGTGTGTGTGTGTGTGTGTGTGTGTGTGTGTGTATTAGAGACCTGGTGCATGAATTTGTGCATGGGTGGGGTTCAGCCAGCCTGGCCACAGGGAGAGGACATGGTCAGTTGACCAGCCTGCCTGCTGGTCAAACTCCTGGTTGAGGGGACAATTTGCATATTAGCCTTTTATTATATAGGATACACACTGAGTGACCAGATTATTATGCGTTCAGAGATCATAATAATTTGGCCACTCAGTGTATGTTATCTTTAACTATATAATCTCTTATTGATAGAATATAACTTTTAATATAAAAAAACATAAAAAATACCTGTCCTCTGTTTGAATCTTTAAATGTCATGAAAATTCAATATTTTGTTTGATGTCACATTATTCTTTAATGAAAGACTTTGGCGTGGCTATCCCATAAGCTTAAATGCTTACCTTTTCTTCTTTTCAGCAGCCTTCCTTGATAACATGCTTTTGCGAAGTTCAGGAAAGCTAAATGTGGGCACCAAGAAAGAGGATGGTGACAGTACAGCTCCCACTGTTCGTCCAAAGATCTTGCGTTGTAAATGCCACCACCATTGTCCAGAAGACTCGGTCAACAATATCTGCAGGTTGGTCATACACATCATTCAAACCACGTGTGAACAGAAAGTCCCCACTAAAGAACTGCATGCAGGTTCCAAGAGCACGTTTTAGGAAACAGCCCACAAACCCGCTGACTCCCAGAGTTAGTTGTGCCTGTATGGAGCGAAACTATGGGTTGCATTTTTCCTGAAATGCTGCTCTGAGATTCTCCTTCCTGCAAATATCACACATGCACATGAAATAAACATAGAGCACAGGTCCCAGGCTTCATGTCATGGAGCAAAATGTAATTATTTTCTTTCAAAAGACCTGATCCCCCAAATTATTTCAACAGCAGGGAGTATCAAATATGTGTTATTGTATTTCTTGTGTGTATGTGTTGTTTAGTTGTTACCATTTGTCATGCTGCTGGTGCTCATGTTTTGGAAAGAACACCTAAGCTGCCAGGATCTATTCAGAAACAGACTCTGGGAAGCAGTATGGTGACAGGGCTTAGGAGAGTCTACTAGGTGATGGGAAAACGTTGTCAAAGTACTAGAGAATAAGCTCCTTAGTAGATAATTCTGTTTGTATAAATATATTCTAACCTTTGAAGCTGGAGGCTTTGCCTCCTCCTTCCATACATATCTTCATGCAGCCACATCCATGTTGCTGGTCCGTGTAGCTGCACTTGCTCTCCTGGGGGAGGACGGCAGGGGGTGAAGAGGCACAGACCAATGGGCAGGGTGGCCCAGGGAGAGAGGGCCCATGCCTCCACACAAGCGTAGGTCTCAGCAGTTCAATGTCAGAGAAGCATCGTCTGCCTCAGGAAGGAGATGGACCCAAATAAGGAATGGGCTGCTGGGTGAACCACAATGCAGTTTTCTCTGTGGTGGGAAGGGGAAGCGTGGTTTTCTGAGAGCACAGGCGGGAGGAGACACGGCAGGAGTTGGACCTGGAGACTAGGGAAAGGTTACCTGTGGCCAGGTGAGTTGTGTCCCAGATGTTGGTCTTATTCCTGAGAACGTAGGAAGCCTTGGAAGCTAATGTCTAAGCAGGAGAAACAGTGACGATTAGCTTTTTTGAAAATTTTTCTTTTCTTCCGAGTTTTGCATGTATTAGAGGGAAACAAAAAATGAATTTGAGAACAACAACGGTTAGGTAAGGGAAATTGAAAAGTGGATTCAGGAAGGACCGTTCGTGTAAAAGAACATGATCTTGTACGAGGGAGGTGCTGGTGTAGGAGAGGTGGGTGTGCTGGAGTACTACTTAGAAGGAAAGTTTTGTGCTGGTGAATTATATAGGGGAGGGGCTTCACAAGTGTCTGGATGTACATTTAGATGCTTAGGATAGCCTTTCAATGAAGAAGGACGAAGGAAAACAGTTGGATTCCAATATAGACATGTTGAGTTTAAGTTTTCTAACACATCCAAGTGAACCTATCGAAGGGTAGGCATTGGGTGTGGATTTGGAACTTGGATTCACGATTGGGGAGGGAATGTGGAATAACACATGAGTCAGTTTTTGCTATGGAACAAGCTCAAAATCATAGTGGCTTACAACTACTAGTAAAGACTATTTATTTGTGTATTTATTTTAATCCTTACCTGAGGGTACTTTTCCATTGATTTTTAGAGAGAGAGTGGATGGGAGGGGGAGAGACAAAGAGAGAGAAAAACATGGGTGTGAGAGAGATACATTAATTGGTTGCCTCCCGCACACAACCTGACCAGGGTCAAGCATTGAGCCTGCAACCGAGGTATGTGCCTTTGACCGGAATTGAACCTGGGACCCTTCCATCAATAGACCATGGCACTCTATCCATCAAGCCAAACTTGCTAGGGCTATTTATTTTTATATATTTTTTAATTCCTGGTTCTACAAGTGGGCTGCCGCTCTGTTGAGCTCTGCTGGATTGGGTGTGCTTGGCTTCAGTTTGCTACTTGAGCTCAGGCCTACTGCACATGCTTCTTCATTCTTGTAGTAACAGCAGCTACTCAGGGCATATTCTTTCTCATGTGAGTGTCGGGGAGCAAACTTTTAAAGCTTCTGTTTATGTCATGTCCTCTAACATTCCATTTACAAATCAAATGTCATAGTTATGCTCAAAGTCAAGGAGACTGTGTTTAGGGTGGGGCGTGAAGAATTGAGAACACCCATGTTGCTGGTCAGTGTAGCTGCACTTCTACCTGAAGAAGACAGCCTTGAGGCATGCAATGCTTGGATAAAGGAGGCTTTCCCGGGAGACTGAGGATTAGCAGTGAAGCAGTAAGGCTGGTGTCATTGAAGCCAAGTTTACAGAGGGAGGATGCTGTTAGAAGTCAAATAGGATAAGAATTGAAGTGCAGCAATCACGTTTGTTGATCTTGATAACTGAAGTTTAGAAATACTTAATGTGCAAGTAGCAATGGAAGCCCAGGTTCTACTCACTGACCATCAAATCAGTACTTCTCAAACTATCTCTGTTGAAAGACAGTGCCCCCCACCCAATAGCTTGTACACTGGTACTTTTCTAAATACAATAAAAACAAATTATAGATTAATTTGAAAAATAAATTGAAAATACTTACACATTATTAGTATGTGCTTCTTTTATCCTATTTTCCATTAGATTCAACAGCTAAACGTATTGCTATACAGTACACATTTCAACTTCTAATCTCACAGACCAATAATAAGTTGTTTTCTGACTTGAAAGGGAGCATCCTTTGAGTAATACTACACTAAATCTTGCATTCCTAGGTACAGAATTTCTAAACACAAGGCTGTCCTTGCGTGAGGCTTAGATAAGGGCTTGTCTAAGCTGTCTGGTTGGCTATGAGGCAGATCTTAGCCAAGCTGAGTGTTGAGGTAGATCTTACACTCATTACCACTCCCACTTTCCTAGAGAGAATAATCCAAAAAGTAGCCCAAATTAAGAGTGCATCATAGTTAAGAGATTCTGAAATCCCACATAGTAATTCAGAGAACCTGCACAAAGTTTAGAGGTGTTTTTTTTTTTAATTCTTCCTGAGTACCATCAATGATTTACTAGCCAACACCAAGGCCACAGTCATTCTTGGCTTGTTTCCTATCAGGTGCAGATGTATCTGTTTCCAAAATCTATGCCATTTCTACAGCCCAATGGCATGCACGTTGAAGGATGTGGTGTAAATATGTCCTACATTGAGCCTTTTTAATATTCATAATTCAGAGTAAGAAAGGAAGCTGTTGTCATGGCTCCCTCAAGATAATATCTATCTTCCAAATATCTTTCCAGGTGTTATTTCCCATTGTTAATCTTTCCCATTCCACTTCCAGATGCTACTCCTGGAACCACAGACTTTCATGCGTATCACAGGAAGCTGCAAAGTCTCTTTCAATCACTCTTTGTAGATGGCTTTCACCATGCCAATATCTGTCTTATTTTCCTGTCCTACCAAGTATAATCTCAGCCTGTTTTTGTTGTGGTTATATATATATATATATATATATATATATATATATATATATATATATATATATATATATAAATCTGGTCCCACTTCATGTATTTTTCTTTGTTTTACTTGATTTGGTAGTTAACAGTCATTTTTGTCCCTGAATCATCACCTCTCTCAGGTTCCTCCACTCCCTCACACAAGTTTATTCATTTCTAAAATTTATTTATTTTTTTTACTCTTTTATTCAGAGACAATTTTAAATACTTTCTCCTTTATCTTATTGAATTCAGACTAAAAATTCTCCTGCCTGGGTGGTTTTTTTGGGTTCCTAGTGTAATCAATCGCATCAGATGTTTGCACAAAGGATGTGTAAATGACACCACTCTGCCTGCATGAGGAATTAGAAGAGTCTCCAGCTGGGCTTTGAAGAGTCACAAAGGGGAGAAGGAAAAGCTTAGGGACCTTGAGCCTTTTGACAAAGTTTGTATTAACCCAGAGCTTTTAGACCTCCTGCTGAATGTGGTGGTGTGAGTTTTTAGACAGGTGCTCCTGACCCAGGGTCTCTGAGTGTTTAAAGTGCACATTGTTCTCCTTTGTTTGTATAGCTTACATTGCATCCAGTAAATCCCACTGTTGCCCAGGCCATATGAACATTGAGCTTTAAGGTCTTTATTTATTTTTAGTGGATGTTGAGTTCAAACCAGTGCAATAATGAGGATGGTGAGTCCTGCATCAGGACTCGTAATTTAGTAGGAAGAGGCTATGATTTCAAGTTTGCTTATGAAGTTTTTTACAAGGAATAACTCAGTTTTTGTGCCTCTGATTAGTCACAGATGAGCATGTTACGTGGCCCATTTATTGTTGGACTTAGTAGAAAGTGAACAGCATGGGGTTCTTTAAAATCATAGATAGTGAAGCATGGAGATTATTGAGCAGAGAAGGAAAATGTAAGGTTTGTCAGGCAGAATCCAGAGATGGGGAGTCCACTGGAAGGCTCTCAGAGCAGTCAGATGGGGGGAGTGAGGACACCTGCATAAGGTTGGGGGGGGGTGAGAATTCACAAACGCTCTATTAATATGAACACTGAGACTGGTTCACAGTATCTTATACTTCACTAAGAAAAAACAAAACAAAAACAGACTAGAATGCTAAGTCACTTGTTTGGCTGCCAGAGAAAGACAGAAGGATGTATGATAGTTACACGTCCTTGATGATAAAGGAATAAAAAGGCATTTCCTGTATTGATGCCTCAGAGGAAAAGCCAGAGAAAGGGGGACGGTAGTAGTCATATGTATTTCCAACTGTCCAGTAAGCACTAATGAGAAATCGGGGTCCCAAAGGCTGTTTATGATGCATTTGGCCATATATGAAAAGAGCCAAACCTTGCAGGTTCTGGGCGCTCACCCACCAAAAACGGAGTAGTACTTGTTCCCTCAAAAGTTGAAGCCAGGTATGCCCCTTTCTTCATTGATAGTCAGTGTTTACTTGGTCATGTCCAGCTTCTCTTGTGGAAGTTCTTCCCTGATGATCTTTCTAGATAGTACAGACACTTACTTACCTTTGGAATATTGGGCAGAGGCAAGGAGTTTGAATCTGTAGTGCCATCCAAGGGCTGTAGCAAAAATTTTATTATCACTGCTTTGACCTCATGTGACTTTTAAATTCTCAAATTCTTTGCTTTTCCATTAGTTAACATGTGGAGAGGCATTTCAGTATTGATCATTTTGGGATTCAACTCTTGTTCTATTTTATCAATTACTTTTCTTTGCCTATAACTCAGGGGCAGCATTTTTTTAAAATATATTTTTATTTATTTTAGAAAGGAAGGGAGAGGGAGAGAGAAAGAAACATCACTGATATGAGAGAGTCACTGATTGGCTGCCTCCTGCACACCCCCTACTGGGGACGAACCTGCAACCCTGCTGCACAGGGAATCAAACTGTGACCTCATAGGTTCATAGGTTCATGGACTCTCAACCACTGAGCAACACCGGCTGGGCAGGGGCAGCTTTTTTAATTTATAATCCTTACTGGAATCAAATGATTGATCCTACAGTCCTGTATACATATCACCACTTTTAATTTTGTCTAAAATGATTTCTCCTTTTGTTTTTCTTCATGATGTTCATCTCCTGTGATCACTTTCAACACTCTGGGAGTGATGTGGCAATAACTGCACACATATCACAACTTATGTGGCAGACAGCAGCAGGATGTCCCGACAGGCCATGGGGGGAGTTAGTTGCCTTTTGTGCCGTTCAGCAGCCACCCCTTAGTGGTGGGTGGAATTGTTGGGCTCTGACTGGAGCATAGCTTTGTTTACATTCATGCTTGCTGAAAGAGTTGAAAGTAAGCTTCTATAAGAATAGAGTTAAAAGGATCAAGGCTTTAAACCTTGTAAACACTGTACTGAGTAAAATGAAATAATACATAGAGCACCTTTAAGTTTCCTTACTAGCTAGCAATTTCAAGGAGAAGCTTATAAATTATTTTGGCTTTGTTGCAGATAATATGCACTTGGTATTCTCTCACCCTCTTGCTCTTACTCCAGGGACATACTTGATTCCTACCTTACTGATGCCTGTGGGACACTGACTCTTTTCTCTAGGGCAGGGGTCGGCAACCTGTGGCTCCGGAGCCGCATGCGGCTCTTTTGAACCTTTGCTGTGGCCCCCAGCAGGTCCAACACTAGCAGGGCAGATAGCAGGGCGGGGCGGGGAGCTGTATCACTTATGTCGCAATGGTTTTGCTGCTCCGAGGTTTTTTTTTTCCTTCGAAAACGGGTCGAAGTGGCTCTTTATGTCTTAAAGGTTGCCGACCCCTGCTCTAGGGTCTCTCTCTTGCTCCCTCTCCATCCCCTCTTTATACTTTTATTTTCACCCTTTTTTTGAAGACATGGGTATGTATCTTTAATATATATTTTATTGATTTTAGAGAGAGAAGAAAAAAGAGAGAGAAACATCATCAGTTGCTGCCTCCTGCATGCCCCCTGCTGGGGATCAAGCCTGAAACCCACACATGTGCCCTCACTGGGAATTTAACTGGTGACCTCCCTGTACATGGGTTTGATGCTTAACCATGGAGCAACACTGGCTGGACGGAAGCGTATTTTTAAAGCTTAAACTTACCCTTGCTGATTTCCCTTTCCATTCCTTAGGACACTGTAACAGTAACTTACCAACAGATTTACCAGCTTTTCCTGTTCTCATTCTTGATTCTTGTAAGTTGCTTAAAAGTACATTTCCATGTATTCAGATTTTGAGCAAGAGGAACTCATGATTTAGGAGAAGTTAGTCTTTTTGGATTTAACATATTGAGTTAAGCTTTTCTAGCCACTATGAAATCCTAATGTCAGAAAATTAAGATGGCTTTATTTCTGATAATTCCTGAATTTTACTTCTGACAAGAAATGGAAATTACACACATAATCTAAATGTGTAGGAAAGGAACAAAACAACAACAACAACAACACACACACACACAGGTATTATTTTTTTACATGTTTACATAAATTTCTAAGGGACAGCTCTTGTATTTATCGCCTTCAGTACTTACATGCTTTAGATTGTCATAGCAGTGTCAGCAAATGAGCTAAAATGCCCCAAATAATATTAAGCATGGGCTGTTCAGAGGCAGTATTTCTTCCACAACAATATTCATTCATTTGACCTTGGTCTACACAAGGGAGATTTATCACTGGCCCTTCCCAGCCACTTATTAGTATGTTTGAACTTGGCTCTGCTAGTTTTCATAAACTGAGGTATTTTGGATCACTTGAGGCTTATAAACCAAGTAAGCAATACAAAGGGTGTTGATGATAACTGAAGGGCTAAGGTATGGCAGAATGCTGCTGCCTCCAACACAGAACAGACCAACCCAGAAACCATGGCGAAGAGCATGGGCAGAGCTGCCTCCCTGACCGTGGAGGACTGTGCTGTCATATCTGTTTTGGACACGGAGCATGCATGTCCACGAAGAAAAGATGGAGATATAGGTCCGTCCTTTATTTCCTAGCTCACACAGTAGGGGTCTGTGACTTACATCGGGAGTCTGCTGGCTTTCCTCACCCAGTGGACTCCCAATATAAGAAATGTTTGTTTATAAATACTTCTATATATATAACAGTTCTTGTTTTCCATTTTTAATCCCAGGAGGGGACAGGGGAAAAATGTGTGGGAAAGAAGCAAGAGGTTCTTGATGAAAAGGCTGATTCTGTAACTGTTTGCTTATTAGACTTGCATAGCTTTAATTTCCTCGTCAGTGAAATAGAAATTATCACTTCTCAGTGTTGTTGAGAGGACTAAATCTAATAGAATAAATGAAAGTTATTTTTAATCTAAAAACCCATACAGAAAAAAATTATATATATATATATATATATATATATATATATATATATATATATATATATATATATATATATATATGGTTTCTTTACTTTCTAGGGCCACGATTTTCAACCAGTATACTGCAAAAGGCACACTGGTATGCCGCAGGAATTTTTAAAACATGTGATACCTGACTATTTAGTCAGGGGTACTTGGCCTCTTTTCCCTTAGATTATTAAATTTTTTTAAAAAAATGACATTAGCCAACCAACAATAGCTCTCTGGTGTGAATGAGTCAAAAATATATTTTGTTGTTATCAGGTCAGTAAAAAATACATTTTTTGGTCGGCCGCAGAATTTTAGTAATTAGTTTGTGTGTGCCATGAGGTGGAAAAGCTTTAACAATGATCTTGTTAAAACCCTTCTTTCCACTGTCTGTTTTTACCCTGCTTCCAATTTAAGGCCAGACTGCTGAAATCAAAGCCTGATGTTTCCATCCCTCAGGCCTGCCCAGGAGCACAAGTACCAAAAGGCAGAATCTTAGTCACCTCACTTCTGCTGTGCTGATCCCAACTCTTGCCCCTCCTTAGTTTAGTTTGTGTGTCTTAGTAAGAGGTAAGTTTATTTCCTAGCCTCAGTGCAAGGAGAGCCAGCATAGAAGTTCACCTGCATGGGTCCAAAGCCCTGCCATGCATACTCTCACTAGCTGTAGGCCTTGGAGAAATTACTCAAGTTCTTTGAGCCTCAGTGTGGAGCCTCATATAGAAGGTAAGAATAGTGCCATCTTCCTCAGAGTTGTTTTGTTCTGGGCTTAACCAGTTTGGCCCAGTAGATACAGCGTCTGCCTGTGGACTGAAAGGTCCCAGGTTCCATTCCAGTCAAGGGCACATGCCAAGGTTGCGAGCTCGATCCTCAGTAGGGGGCGAGCAGGAGGCAGCCAATTAATGATGAAAAGCAAGAGGTTCTTGATGAAAAGGCTGATGCTTCTATCTCTCTCTTCATCTCGCTCTCTGAAATCAATTGAGAGAGAGAGAGAGAGAGAGAAAGAGAGAGAGAGAGAGAGAGAGAGAGAGAGAGAGAGAGAGAGAGAGAGAGAGATCCACCCTAGCCGGTTTTGGCTCAGAGGATAAAGCATTGGCCTGCAAATTGAAGGGTTCTGGGTTCGATTCCCAGTCAGGGCACTTGCCTGGTTTGTGGGGTTGATCCCCATGCAAGGAGGCAGCTGATCAGTGATTCTCTCTCATCATTGATGTTTCTATCTCTCGCTACCTCTCCGTTCCTTTCTGAAATAAAAGAATATATATATATTTTTTTCTTTCTTTTTTTTAAAAGAGAGCTCTCTACCAAGGACCAAAGCAAATGTTTAGTAATCAGTATATGTGGTTATTAATTGTATATGTGATATGGAAATTCTGGATATTTCTTTTTCGCAGTTTTCTGGACAGAGGAGCTATTTACAAAATATTTATTGATAATTAAATTGAGTTTCATGAAAGGAAGTTTCGGGACTCTCTCCACAGACTGTAACTTGTAATGATCATTGAACTTCTGATTTTAATGAAACAAATGATGAGCATCTTCCTTTTCCCCTAGACGCACACACACTGACACTCACGCTTCCTTTGCCGGTTTGGCTTTTAGCACAGATGGATACTGCTTCACGATGATAGAAGAAGATGATTCTGGGATGCCGGTGATCACGTCCGGGTGTCTGGGACTAGAAGGTTCAGATTTTCAGTGCCGGGTAAGGAGGAAACTTGATTCCCCTTTGTGACCTTTCCTTGGCTAGATTTCAAACAGCCAAGTTTCAATAAGAGAAAGCAATTGTGTCGGGGTTTTTTGTTTGTTTTTTTCACTAGCCTATTTTTAGTGATTTGGAAAATAATTTGAGCAATCTCATTGGGCCAATTCTCCCTTCATTTTGAAATGAAATATTATGTTTATTTTTGCTGATAACTTCTGGCTTTGTGTCCCATTAGACCTTCTTGCTCAAATTCCAATTTAGCTAACTGCATCAGGCCTCGCTTTCTTTGTTCACTTACACTGTGCACACCGGGTATTACACATGTAGTAATAATTTTGTTGACATGCAGACATTGCAGTAAGGTCATACATGATAATTTAAAAGAAATGACCTAAAAGAAAACAATATTTTCAACATGCTTGTGCAAGAATTTCAACCGAGTTACCAAAATAGTCTTAATGTCTTAAGTTTGAGGTTATGTGCCTATGAAATCTAGGGGACACCCACTAACAGCTTTTCGGGTTTAATTTTAGGACACTCCCATCCCTCACCAGAGAAGATCAATTGAATGCTGCACAGAACGGAATGAATGTAATAAAGATCTACACCCCACACTGCCTCCACTGAAAAACAGAGGTAAGAAGATCCTTTCTTTTCTAAATGAATCTATCTGTACCATTTTCCACTGCTGGGGCAGAGGACAAGGCAAGATGCCATAATGAAACATTCAAATACATGTGCAAGCAGTTCTTGGGAAAGTAGTCTTACATGGCTTCTCTCCAGTGAATTTTATTTCATAAACTCTCCCCTCTTCTCCTAGAAAACTAGTTTCTAGAGCTTGTAGTGTATTTCCGAAAAGGGCGGAGGAAGGAGACAGTGCTTTATGTTTGCTCCTAAGTATTACTCAGGGTGTATTTCCTTCAAAAATGAGTATTTCTCTACATTTGTTTCAAAAATAAAGGACCTTAAGACAGAAAAAAAGAAAGTTAAAAAATAAATAAAAATAAAGGACCTTAGAAAGGAGTACATCAGATTATTTGTTGGATTGTGTTTCCTTTTATCTATGCTAGAGTGTATTTTTAGTCAAATTTTATATTATATAAAGATAAAATATATAAAATGGAGAAAACATCTACAAAATTTAATTTCAAGATTTATGCATTTCAATTAGCACCCCCAGAGATTTCTTGTTAAAAATAGCTCTCATTTCCTTTCCTCTCCTTTTTCTCACCAAAAATAAGTGATTTGAAATTGTCACAGAAATCTAAGTCCAAAGACATAGATAAGTGGTTCCTTGTGAGAAAAATTTTCCGACAAAATATTATGACATTTCATGGTTTTCATGATAATATTTTTATAATACCTGTTCCTACAATAACCTAGAAAGCTCTATAAGGTTTATTCAAAATAATTCACATCAAAATTCAGTCAGTTGTGTTTTTTTCTTTTTTTATTAATCCTCACCTGAGGGTATTTTTTCCATTGATTTTTAGAGATAGTGGAAGATAGGGAAGAAGGCTGGGTGAGAGAGAGAAACACGGATTGGTTGCCTCCCACATGCACTCCTGCTCCAGGCCAGCGATCAAGCCTGCAACTCAGGTTACCCTTGACCAGGAATGGAACCGTATCCCTTCAGTGTGTGGGCCAACGTTCTAAGGACTGAGCAACAACAGCCAGGGCAAAACTCAGTCAGTTTTTAATATTTTGGCAATCAACATGCTATGTCTTAAGGATTCAGAAATGGATGAAGGAAATTTTTGCTCTCAAGATGTGCACAGTTGGTTCTGAGAAACATGTAAATAATTATACAGTCAGGAATAGTTCAGCAGCAGAGTTTGATTTTGAAGTATAGTAAGAACACAAAAGAGGGAATAGCACCCTCTTTCTGGCATGGAAAGATGTCAAAATAGCTTCAGAGAAGTGATACCTGAACAAGACTTTAAGGAGGAACAACAACTTGCCAAGTGAATAAGGCAAGAATAAAATTTTTAAAAATTAAAATTAATTAATGTAAACTTAGCCAAGCAGTATTCTAAGTTTACATTAATTAGCCCACTTGAGCCTCACAACAATCCTATGAGGTATTTAGGATTATTAATCTCCATTTAAAGGTGAGGAAATTAGAGCACAGTGAGGTTAATTAACTTTCCCAAGGTTGCACAGCCTATAAATAGCAGTGACTCTATTTATAGGCTGTGCAACCTTGGGAAAGAGGCAATGGTACGTGCAGGGGTTTGGTTTGTGAAATTTGAGAAACAATAGCTAAATACAAGCATATGAAAGAGCAAGGCTGGTTGGAGAAAACCTCCTAATTAAGTTGTTTGAAGTCACTATTCAGAATGGGTTTGTAAACTAGTGATATCATTGTCATTTGGAGCTCCTTGGAAATTCAGAATCAAATGGCCCCAACCCAGATTAACTAAACCCACATTTTTAAACAAGATTCCCCAAGTTGTGCATACACACATTAAAGTTTGGGCAGTAAGCCCTAGTTGGTTTGGCTCAGTGGATAGAGTGTGGGACTATGGACTGAAGGGTTCAATTCCGGTCAAGAGCCCATGCCTGGGTTGCGGGCTCGATCCCTGGTTGGGGGCATGCAGGAGGCAGCCAATCAGTGATTCTCTCTCATCGTTGATGTTTCTTTCTCTCCCTCTCCCTTCTTCTTTGAAATCAATAAAAATATATTTTTTAAAAAAGTTTGGGCAATAATTTTGCTAGAAAAAGACTAAGAAGTTTACAGAGAAGTTCATTGATGTCAAATTGTAGTAAAATTCTAAATGTTTACTTTTAGTTCCATAGTTCTTTGTGAATCAGTTTCAAAAAGTAGGTGGTCTGTGGACAACATTTTGAATAATAACACTAATTTATGGGCTTATGGGTTAGTAGGGAGGGAGAAAGGAGAGGGAAGAGCAGCTGGAAAGGAAGGTGGAAATGATAGATTTTAGAATATCTTTATCAAGGAGGAAAGGTTTCTAATGTGCAAGTGGAAGTGATGTATCCTAGAAGTAACAATAGGGTTTAGAAAAACTCATTCTTTCAGAGGCTGAAATGACTGCAGTGCATGTGTTGTCCTGTAGATGGAGCCAGATTCTAGTTAGGACCAGGGAGGTGAAGGCGTATTCTCTGAGAAGGTGGAGGATGTAGGGACTTTAAAAATTAGTGAAATAAATATCTAGAGAACTGAGTGAAGAGGTTTGAAAAGAAGGGCAGCAGCATTGAGAAGACACATCCTAGGTTCAGGGATGTAGGTGGATTATACTGAGGATTATGCGACTGTCTGCTTGGGTGGAGTTACCAGTAGGGTTTACTGCTTTAAATGCTGAGGATCCCAGGTAGTGCCTAGGCAAGCTCTCGGTGGACTTTACCTCACACTTTTATCACACTCAGTTTGGTGTTCAGTAAAAGTCAGTGCAGACTGTGATCTGAAAGCACTGGCATTTTTTACATAATTATGCCATATACTAAGCATTTTTTTTCTTTTTTGCTTCTACCATATAAATTTTTATTGGACATGTCCTATATATCTTTACTGGATACCAGTAATGCCTTGGTCAGGAACATTAGAGTTGCAACCATATTGGATTATGTTTACACTAGTGCCCCGGTGCACGGATTCATGCACATTGCAAAGAAATTAATTAGAAGGTGGCTGGGGGTGGAACTGGGTGAGACTAGCTGAACATGCCCTATAGCCAACCTCCTGTGGTCCCTCCACAGCTGCTGCAGCTGGGATATTGCTATGGCTCAAAAGGCATCTGCAGAGTGAGCAGGATCCCTCTGGCAGGTGGGGTCCCTTGGCCTGGCCTGTGGGGATCAGGCTGAAATTGACTCTCTGACACCCCACAAAGGGTCCCAGATTACGAGAGGGCAGTTCTCAGGTGGTGCACCCCGGAATCGGACTTCCTCCTCTCTGGTTCCAGGCTGTGTTATCCAAGAACCAAGAACCACTGCCAAGTCACTGCAGCTCAGCAGCTCCTGTGTTGAGCATCTGCCCCCTTGTGGTCAGTGCGTGTGATACCTACTGGCCAGTGGGATGCTTGCTTAGCCTTTTATATATATAAATATAATATGTTAACCTAAAAGTAAAAGGCCAAGGTGAAAAAACAACAACAAGCATTTATTTGAGATTTAAAAGAATAGCTATTCGGGAAGCATTTATTCAGGCAGAAATCCACATTGTTTTTTGCTTAGGATGGGAAGGCAAGGGATTCTTATGAGAAAGGGAAGGAAAACAATAACATGAATAGAAGGAAGGAATTTCTATAGGTGCAAATAAACTAACATAGTGATGCTAAAGTGTCTTTAATTTTCATATCTGCTCTTTGTTATTTGGAATATAGTCCTGTTTTAAGGCCCAAAAAGTTATTTTGTCCATTCTTAACATTCCAAAGATTTGAAGAGTAACACTTGCAAGCCAGTTCCTCTTGGATGGCAGCTCCAACTCCATTTTGAAGCCACTACATTTGTATTAATTTTCACAATTCATATTGGAGATATGTGTGTATGTGGTCGGTATAAAACCCACATAAAGAACAGGGATGATATTAAAGAGTTATAGAGCCACCTTCTTTTGATATTTTTAATCTTTGCTATTTAAAAAAAAAATACTTAGGACTATCCCTAACTGTGGAGCTTCGGTAGTAATATAAGTGTAGGTCCACATATCATTTACCTACATGTTTAAAGCTCATAAACCAATATAGAAGATTGGTAAATGAAATCCATTAGGTCAGTAGTCAGCAAACTTCAGCTTGTGAGCCACATGTGGCTCTTTGGCCCTTGAGTCTGGCTCTTCCACAAAATACCACGGCCTGGGCAAGTCTAATTTGAAGAAGTGGCCTTAGGAGAAGTTTAAGTGTAAAAAATTTGGCTCTTAAAGAAATTTCAATCGTGCTGTTGATGTTTGGCTCTGTTGACTAATGAGTTTGTTGACTACTGCATTAGGTTAACTTAACAAATACAGGTTCATGATGTTGATGGAAAATACCAAGTTGGCATTTAGAATGCTGAAACTATTGAGGCATTCTCTCCAACATGGGAGTGAGTGGCGGGGATCCCCATTTTCATTTTTCTCCTGCACTGAGGTACCTCTCAGGCATGCACTGGGCACCTGTGTTGGGTTGGTCTCAGCCTATGGATAACAATGCTACCGGCTGGAATGCCCACGTCCTCACCTGGGCCTGCACTACTTGTGGCAGCCCCCACAGACATTTCCCCACTAGAGTCAGTATTGTGGCTGGACTGGACCTTATGGTTCTTATGATGATTGTAAAACTCACCTCAGCAACAACCATCGGGGAGCTTTGAAGAAAAAAAAAGATTTATTAGTCTCAGTTCTGGAGGGTATAGGTTATGCCTGAGGGTCACATAAGGTCATGGAGAGGGAGGGGGAGAGATAGAGAGAGAGAGAGAGAGAGAGAGAGAGAGAGAGAGAGAGAGAGAGAGAGAGAGAGAGAGAGAGATAGAGAGAGGGAGAGAGAACACGAACTAGCAAGCTTAGACCTGGAGTTTGCTTTTGTTGGATTGAGTGCGTGGTGCCTTGGGTTTCATAGACTCGCTATTGGTGAATTTAAAGCAAGAGTGATAATTAGGTTAGGAGGCAGATAAGAAAAAGCAGGGTTACTGGTGGCGTGTTC